TGTGTGTGTGTGTGTGTGTGTGTGTGTGTGTGTGTGTGTGTGTGTGTGTTTTGAAAAGGAAGATTCAGTACTGGTTAGTCTAGGATCATGGCTCTATAAAGAAACATTTGCACAAGAATGGCTTTAGGAAGTAAAGTTATTCTTAGAAGACTAAAAATGAGAGAATCTGGAGTAATGAGTTTAGACATAGAGCAAGACATCCACCAGGCAAGCCCCAGTGTCTGCTGATGGTTCATGATGGTCCATAAGGTACAAGACTGGCTTGGTCCTGTTGTCCACTTGGCTCTTTACCATGTTTTCATTATCCTCCTCAAACTGAACTTCTTTTCAAAAACATTTCACAAATCATCAGCCACCATATAGGATCCCGCTTAACCTTACATTGATATTCTGTTTTGATGAGGCAATTTAAACACTCAATCCTAGATTTCTCATTGGTAAAATTGAAAAGAAATCCTTAGCCTTCTAACATGACAACATCATGGTATTTCTGTCCATTGCATTCAGTGATGTAGTTTTATTTCTGTTATTAAACACTGCTGAAGGTCTCTAGGAGTGTCTTATAGTCAAAAGATGGGGAGTAGAGAATCAGGTTTATTTTGCTTGTTGCAGTAAAGCAAAAGTAAACATAGATATCCTGGCATCAGTATGAGGAAAAAAATCAGTTGTTCATTGGGATATGTTTGTGCAGACAGTTGTTCTGCAGGAGTCCCAGGTATGAGGACATGTATAGACTGAGACTGCTTTCTTGTCCACGCCTTGCATTTGTGAGGTAGAGGCTACAGGATCAGGAGTCTAGAGTCATCCTCAGCTGTAAGAGAGGGACAGGACAACCTAGGAAAAGAGACAATGCTTTTAAAAAATTAAAACAAAATAAACAACAGAGAGAAAAAAGAAAAAGTCTATGCAACTCTCTAGTGTGTGAATATATGATAGTGTTATTTTTACCATCATTATTATAATTATTTCTTAACTGGAAACAAGGGCAAATAAACACCGATGTAAAATTAAAATAATTTTTAAATTACTTTTTAAATTTGTACCATGTCTAATTCTTAACTGTTACAAGAACAAAATGACCATGATATCAAAAGTGACAAATTCTATAGGATCAAAATTTTGGTGTTCATAAATAACAACATTAGATTAATAGGGTGGATGAGATAAAAATATGATAGAAATTGTAAAAAATATGTCTATATACTGCATAAATACTCTTTTGAAGTATATATATGCAAATGCATTGAGACCCTATAAAATATTTTAAGAATTATTTTTAAATTAAACTTACAAGGAAGTGTTATACAATGTTTAGCAATAAACACCATTCTTAGGATGACAATAAATGTCTGTTAATGGCACACACACACACACACACACACACACACATGCACGCACACATATGATTTTCTTGCAAACACAGTTCCATCAGGCACCTTTAATACTTTGTCTCATAGCCACTAATTATCTTTACCTGCCAACTGGAAATGGGATATCTTTGTGGAGAGTTTCCTTTTTTATTGCTTTATGGAACAGTAAGCCTAAACAATTGAAAAGCAGCAACTGAAATTGCTGTGGAGGAGATTCAATCTTGTAGCAGGGATTGTTCATGTTGCTCAAAGGGAGATATGATGTTTCAAGGTAAAACCTTGCCACAGGTCACAATCTGAGAAAAGAAAGGCAGAAATAAACTCACCTCTAGTAAAGTCACCTTCAGGAAAGAAGTGTGGAGGGCGAGGGACAAGAGATGCTGGAAATCTACAATTCAAGACAATTGAATATAGGAATAAGATTGGAAACTGGTTAGCCACAGAGAATGAAGTTGTGATCAATAGGGTACTAATCAATTAAGACTTCAGAATTAAAAACAGCTTTAGAATAAAAAGCTCTGTGGCCATTTTAAAAAACAGTATTAGCATTACTGCAAAGAAAATGCTAGAAAGGACAAAGTTTACCATCAAGACATCAAATTAAGTGTGAAATGACACAGGAGAAATACAGGCTATATTAAAAATTTATCCTGACCGCTGTGGTTAAGAAATAAAACAGTTGAAAGGAAAAATGACCAATAACTAACTGAGCAGGATGTTTGTAATTGTTGTTGCTTCTTTTTAAATCTTTTCTCTTAGGGGCCGGGCCACCCAGCTGCCAGATAAATACACAGAGACTTATTCTTACTTATGAATGCCGGCCTTAGCTTAGCTTCCTCCCTCTTCTCTTTTTTCTCCTTCTATTTATCCTCTTTGTCTGGAAGCCCCACCTATCCATCTCCTGCCTTGCTATTGGCCATTCAGCTCTTTATTAAACCAATCAGACATTTTAGGCAGGCAAAGTAACACAGCCTCACAGACTTAAACAAATGCAACATAAAAGAATACAGCCTATCTTGGCATCATTAAATATTCCACAGCATAAACAAATGTAACACATCTTAAACTAATATCCCACCACAGATGTCTATATGCCAAGATGGCCAATGTAAAAACAGGATAGGACAAATTTTTTAAAGGATGACATTATTTCTATTCATGCTGAACCAATGTTTTCATGAAAAATATAATCAGGTACAATGAGACAGATTGTGAGTTTATTAACAATAAAATGTCACAGAATGCAAAGCACTTTATTGTTAGACACGGCTCTTTCTTTTAAACACATATGTTCACACACATAGAACCAATATCTTGTTTTGACTGGATGTTTTCCATGTTGTTCTTTATGGGTGGGGTGAAGAAGCAACAGGGTGAGTTTTGAAAAATTAAAGTGTGAAATACAAACCCATTGCAGATCTGGGTATACATATCTGCAGTACTGTTTAAAGCAGTTGAAAGTAGCAAAAATGTAGAAGAGAGTCAGATCCCCTCTGGAGGGTAAAAGATGTATGTTGGGTAGATTTTCAATTTTTTAGACACATTTTGAGTTCTCATTATTAAACATTTTATAGTATACAATTTCTCAGTAATTCCACTAGGAAAACAATTATTTACCATTATTGTTTGATCAGACAGGTCTACCCAAGTTGTAATATTTCTCTGGAAGTCAGATAAATCTGTAAGGCAGTCAGTCCTACAGGCATTGAATGGAGTGTGCAGT